ATGATGAAAATCTTGCTGCAGGTCTTGGTTCCAGTAGCAAAACTGAATCTGTACAAAGCCTTGCTCTTGAAGATGCAAGAACCTGAGCCAGTTCGGGGTTGCAGTTAGGATTTCAAGTTGAAACCATGCAAAACTGGTACCTCAGACATACTCAAAGCAAGAATATGAAAAGCTTGGTAGTTTCAGTGAAACTCCCTCCAAATTCAGACCTAAACCTCTAAAAGAAGAGGATGTGATATTAAAAAAAATCAAAACACAAACTCCTGTGAATGGAACCAGGTGGGTTCTCCACGGCTTTGGACAAAATGCCATGCAAAGCAGTGTAAGAGATCTGTAGACATACTTTAGTATGTAATTCATCAGCCATTTTCTAGGAATAAACAGTGAATAAATCCAAACTCGAAGCAAGTTGCAAAGATTTTCAGACATTTCCTTCTCTCAGCCCCACTAGAGAAGTTCAGACAGGAGGGCTGTCTGCTACTTCACCTTGATAGCCACAAGGCCATTCTGGAAGTCTCCTTAACTCTGTCCCATGACTATGGAGATCATTTGATCTACCATCTTCTTACCTGTCTGTGAACACGGAGACATAACAGTTCTCCTCTTCTTCCCGCTCACCTTCACAGGGCTTCCCGCCATTCATCACGGATGGGTTATTACATTCCCGGGTCCTTCTTCTTTTGAAAGAAGTGTCGCATGAACTCCATTCAGACCAGCAACCCCAGCGGCCGTCTACCGCAACTGCAAGAAATAGAAGAAATCCGATCTTTTGGTAGATCTGTACCATACATAGTATTTCTCTTAAGGCCGCGTATGAGATGGATGTTGATAAATTCATAACAGCCATTTTCAGAGGATTTAAAATTGTTACTGTTAAGGGAGTATATTGTAGCTGGAGTGTGAAGTTTTACAAAGAGATGGTCAGCCAAATTCCATCTGCTTCATGAAAACCTAAAAGTACAAGTTTTCTTCCTTTCTAGTTTTGACTGCAAGTAACATTGAAACCCAGAAGCAGCTTATTTTCTACTTCTATTGCACACACTTGTTTGAGTTTTCATGGTGCTGACAACATTTTAGATTGCTCAGTATTTAATAAGTTATTAAATAAATCTAAGCTCTAACACCCCATCTAAACCACAAATCTACATCCCATGAAAGCTAAATTAAAACACTAGTGTCTTTTCTTAGCCCCTGAGGTATTTCGTCTGTGCCACCATGAAGCGTATATAAAAAATTTTATTTACACACTCTCTCTTTTCTGCATGCAATACACTTTCTACATTCATCTCTATCTGCATGTCTTCAGTTGTTTATTTCTTTCAAAATATTTCTTTATTAGGGTCAGAGAATGAGACCTATAGCTGCCTAAGTGGCTCATCTTCTGTCCCCTTTTGGTCTTGGAATATAAATATATGTAATAATACATACAATCCTGTAAATCTCTTCTGTTTCCTATAGGTATTGGCACTAGTGTCAATTTTGTTCAAAAATCTGTTTGTGTGAAAATGTTCTTTAAATTCTTCAGAATATGCTTATGTTCTCCCTCCTTAATACAAGTGAGTTTTCCTTCCACATTTTAGTCAAAATTTTTAATCTCCATTAGCCATTTAGTCAGATGGATTTTTTGGTTTTAATCCTACCTTTCTTCTTCTGACCATTACCACATGGTAAGAAGTGCTACGGATTTAATAAGGGAGGGTTATGTCAGACTCATCTTTGACAAACAGATACCAGAAGGACCATAACTACATTACACTAACATCATCCCAAATACCTGATTTGTAACCCGGAGCTCGTGTCTCACAGTTTTTGCTGTAGGTCCCAGCCTGGCACAGGCAGAGGCACTCCGTCCCGGAAAGCACAGGCCTGCCATTGTTGGGACACGGGGCACACTGGCAAGGGTCAAACCTGCCCGCGTATTCTCTCAGGGCTCTCCCCAGGTTGCGACGCTTGGTCACGGCACATGGCACATTCTTCACCAGATCCGTGATGGGCGACACCTGGTAGGCAACCGTTCAGTAAGCAGTTACCTAGACACAGCAGGGTCCTACTAGGGGTAGCTGCAGGATTTTAAAGGCAATAGAGCCTACATATGAAGCTGTATCACACAGGAGCCAGGTGTGTTGAAAGTTATGGATGATTTAAAGGAGCATGACAGTGCTATACATCTCTGTTATCCTGTTTGTATTACTTTTATTTCCCCAATTTAGGGCTCTCTGAGCCAGTGGAAAACCAACCAGGGGGGATACCATGTCTAAAAATTCAGGACACCATAGATGATGCAAACTTTGCATACACCCGGTCCCTGCCACATGAGACATCCCCACGCTGCCTTCAGGAGCTCAGCATCTGAACCGCGAGAAAGATCACTGCATGCTGTGTTCAGGCAGGTTTTGCTCTTTGCCTTTGAGTGCTTTACTACTGCTGCTGAGCAGCTGCTGTTGTAGTTGGGGAAGGAGGCAGCTCAGTGCACTCACAACAGCACTGGCGTGCTGCATTAAATGAGCAGGACAGAGATACCAGGGGACTGCTGTTTTGTTTCAGTTTAGCTATATGCCATACCCTGCAACATAGACCTGACAAGTGAAAGAGCATAGGGAAAAAAAAGTGTTCCCAGCACCATGCACTGCTTTCATGCACAGTAACTAACCCCTGCCCATGCCTGAGCTCCTGCTGCTGTTGGAGTAATTCACTCATATTCTTCCCTCTTACTCTCACTGTCCATGGATGATGCAAACCTGGTGTGGCTTATAAACCAGCATGCACAAGAAGTAGTTCAAATAAATGTTTTGTATGTTTATATTATGTCCATATATATATATACATTTGTATCACACACAGCATCATCCCGATTTAAGAGAAAACACCTGCAGAGCTCTCTGAAGAGATGCTGACTGCTGAATCCTTTACTACCTCAATGTCTTTCTTTTCTTGTCTTACCTCAAAGTCAATCACCACAGGATTGTCCTTTGTTGATTCCAGCCAGTTCGTGAAGACTGTGTGTCCTGGAAAAGCCCCCTTTTTCTCCCAAGCCAGAGCTGCTGCATACTCTGACCTGCCACCTTTCACTAGGGAGACTGACCGTTCAGCTGACTCCAAAATGGAACCTGAAAGGGAATTTAATCAGAGCATTGTTGGACAAAAGCCTCCAAAGACAGCAGATGTAACAATATAGTTGTAAGAAAAAGTATAAGAGGATATAAAAGAATATATTAATTTTGTGAAGCTACCCTTGGAAGAATGAAGTGTAAGCTCAGAAAAACAATCCCCTCTATGACAGCAGTCTGTCATAGTCTTCCAAAAGAAAATGTCTGAGACCTCAGCCACAGTGATATTCAGAACTACACAAGACGCTTGTGGAAAATGCAGGGGATACAGCAGGCTCCTCTAGAAAAACACACTGCAAGGCAGGGTCTTTATCCCAGCTATAAACAGCTAACAGATGGAAATTAATCATAAAATGAGGACAATAATATGGTGGAAGTTATTAAATCCCTGGGTTTTGTGATACAGAACATGACTCTTGCAGAAAATGCACCTACTTTCTGCAGTTCCTGAGACCCATTTCTGGCATTACCAGGGAACTCCTGCACCTAAACATCTGCTTGGCATGTGAAAGGTGGGAGGGGAAGGTCCTGGAGTGTGTCACTGGTGCCCAACTCTCTCAATGATCTCTGACCAACCCTTAAAGAAGATGAGGGACTCAGTCATGATCACACATTTCTAGTTGTGCCCATATCGCTGTTCAGCATTCCTGGCCCTGGACCCTGGGCCATGGGGAATGTTTGTCAGATCCGTGACTGGCTGGAAGGGTCAGTGCCACTGGATCCCCAGTGGTCAATCTCCAGAGCAGAGGATGAGCGCTTATCATAATTTCTTTCACAAGTAAGAGGATGTTTCCAGTGTTTGCTTCAGAGATAATGAAACACTGGGTCCTCTGACAGTGCTGGAAGAGCATTTGTAGTTCAGCAAATCTGGGATGTCACCTGGTGCACCTATCTGAGGGGAACGGCGTCTCTCAGAGTAAGTAACAGGACATGGGCCTTGTTCTCATCATGGTCACCTTCATGTTTCACAGTCATCCTGTTTGTGGTGCATCTGGTACTGACTTTCTTTTTCTTCCGGAAGAACACACGTCTTGTTGTTTCTGTTCGGACACACTCTGTTGATTCTTCCACTGCCAGCCCTAGAAATACCACAGAGCATCACCTTCATCACTGTAACCATGTTACATGATGACACCATGCCCCCAGGCTCCCACATCAAGGTGAACCATTGTAGCTGTCCCCGCTCCTCAACCACCGCTGGGTGAGTCACAAATCAAAAGGATTTTTTGTTAGAGAAGTTACTATATGGCATAAAACCTAAAAAAAAAAACCATAAGAAAAGCTGGTAAACAAATCATTAAATATTACATACCCGAGTTCTTCAATTCCTCAGAGCTGTACTGGTAAAGAATGTCATAGGAACCACCCATCTTCCCAGAGGTGTAGTAATGAGTGCCAAAGTCATCAAATATTCTGCTGTATAGAGCATAGTTGTACTCCAGGGGCAGGTGATTAAGCGCTTTTAAAAAAACGTCTGAGAGCTGCAGATCTGACTGTTTCATTGTGAAGTTTGCAACAGAAATGACTTTATGGACTCTAATGAAGTTGGAATTCTAGAAATAAGAAAAGGGCAGTCTTAGCATCTACATAGGTAGTTAATTGCAGAAAGTAAAGGAGCCAAGAGTATGTCCTGAGACACATTGCAAGAACTAATTAATCCTGTGTATCATGCTGCTTTAATCATGAATAAACTAGCCCTGGAGTTTCCAAAAGCCCTGTGAGGTTCTTGAGGACAATGCTCATTACTCCTTTATGTTGCTTGGGTATACAGCTGTCCTAGGTTACAGTGTAAAATGTGC